GCTGAAGAGCTGAGGGACAGCACCCAGGCCCAGAGTTCAGGCCCTACAACCGGACCCAAAAACAAAACAAAAAAAAAGAAAATCTAGTTGTATGTACACACATTGGGCCAAGCCTCCATCAGGTGGCTCTCTAAAGCATATTCCCTCCAGCTTTAAACACATATATTATAAGGATGATTCCAATGTTCTTTCTTTCTAGTAACCAATGTGTGAGTCTAGATTACTTTGTTTAATTGGATCTTATCATGCTGCTTCATATTTACTTGATTTTTCCCAACTGGTTATTGTTAATCAATGCTATACATTCTTTTTTTATTGTGAAAATACTGTACAGAGGGGTTACAATTACATGGGCAAGATAATGAGTACATTTCTTATCAAGCATTGTAGCCTCCTCCTTTGTTTCCCCTTCCCATCCCTTCCCATCCTCCCCCTGCCCCACCACCCAATCCTCCCCGTTCCCCCTCCCCTTCTTTCTTTCTTTCTTTCTTCTTTCTTTCTTTCTTTTTTTGTTGGTCGTGAGGCCTGAACTCTGGGCCTGGGTGCTGTCCTTAAGCTCTTCAGCTCAAGGCAAGTGTCCTACCATAATATTATGTCTGGTTTTCTGGTGGTTAATTGGAGATAAGAGTCTCACAGACTTTCCTGTCCTGGCTGGCTTTGAACAGAGATCCCTAGATGTCAGCCTCTTGAGTAGATAGGATTATAGGTGTGAGCCACATGTGTCCAGCTGCTTCTATTGATTTTAAATGAATGTGTGATCAGTTTAGTTACAGCTACATTATCTGATGGTTTAATACCTATAGAATTTCCAACTAGCAAACTATGGATGGTAGAATCTAAAGAAAAATATGGGGTCTCAATGCTGACTAAAAATTGAAAACACTCATAGAAATGATAGAAGTTGAAAGAATCACATTAAAAGGTACAAGCTGTTTGGATTTTACAAGAAGATTTGGAAACAATTTTGCCCAAAGAGTTTATAGGAATTATGAACTCACCTAACTGAATAATTTATTCATGGAAGCATAAAGCAGCAGCAATAGAATGCAGATCTTGGAGTCTTTTTGACTTTGAGGTCTAAACAATGATAACATGCAATAAGGAAACAAGTGTTTTGTAAATATGAGTTTAATCAACCTGTCTTTATTTCACCTATGGACTAATTTCTGTATGTTGCATTAATGTAGTGCAAATTTAATATGTAATTTGGTAAATATTATGTCATATTTCTAAATCACTTAGATATTTTTAATGAAATTGATTAGAAAACTACTGCTAGCATGACCAAGACATTTTCAAAAGTGAGATTAAATAAATATGATATGAGTATGGCAAAAGTATACATACAACTAGACCAGAGAGGTAAATGACAAAACTGATCATAGTATACATAATACAGGAATGTTCTTGACAATGAACAGGGATTAAAAACACACATGCAAACTGAATCCATTGAGTGAGACGTGTTGTCCTCATGATTGACATGTCGAATTGAAACTCCTTAAAGATAGTAAGTAAATAAATAGTAAGTAAATACAAAGAATGAATCTTAAAATCTTCTGGTAACTTTTAAGAGCAATTTTGAATCAGTTGAGATTTTCATTTGTGCTAACCTGGGGCTTGAACTAAGGGCTTGGACACTGTCTCTGAGCAGTTTTTCTCAAGGCTAGTACTCTACCATGTAAGCCAAAGATTGACTTCTGGCTATTTTCCTCAAAACTCAACCTCCTAAGTTGCTAGGATGACAAGCCTTTGTCAAAGGCACCTGGCCGAAGAATTTTTTTTATCAAATAGTGAACTTTGATATAAAAAAATATGGTAACTTCTGCACCTTGGGCATTCCTCATAATTGAGCACACATTATTGTATTATTCTCCTAATTCCTACATACAATGAAGTCAAGATACATTTCTGGAACTAGATGTTATGGATAATATGTCTTGATGGTGAAAACTAAAGAAGAATTTTAGAAATATATTTGTTGGTTTCCATATAGTGTTTATTGATAGATATATAGATTCTGAGAGATTTTACCAAAGACTATGCTTACTCAATTTATAAAACAATGAAGTTAAACAATGGTTAAAACACTAAACCTAAACAAAACAGATATCCTTAGCTCTTAAATACTTTGATTTGAAAAATAGTCTTTGAAATCATTTTCTTGATTTTTATGAAGATTATCAGTGAAACTCATTAAATGCAAAACACATTTCGTTCATATATTTTCCAAATGCTATCTAGACTGCTTATCAATTTTATATTCCATCAAGAGGCTAACTGTAAATTTTAGCATGCTCAAGTCTATGAATTGCTACTGACCAAAGGAAATGAAAAGATCTTACCTGTCACATGCTCTGTAAACTTATGTATAATCTTGCTTAAAAAGAAATGTTACTTGCTTCCTTCAATATTGAAAATTTTGCAATGAATATGTATCACTTATTGATTTCCTCAAAGCATTTCAAGTCACGTAATGATACTTTCAAATATATTAAAATGTAAGAGAGAATTTCATGTTCCTATATTATGACTCTCATTGATGTCTGTCCTAGGAAAGATGTTAAAATATTTACCTATTATTAAATATTTCAGAACTTAAGGCAAGAAAAATGTTCTGTTCACACACCTTTACTAAAACTAATTTATTTCTTTGATTTCACAAAAAGTTTAAATTATATCTGTATATTAAACTTACTTTCTCAAACAGATGAAATTCAATTTGGGTCTAAAAGATTAAAAATGTTGGATATTTTAGATCTCAATACTCTACACTATGAATTTATATAAAAGGCCTGATAAGCAAATAACTCATACACTGAAATGAACACATACATTTCAGATTGTAGCCTTCTAGTAGCTTCATAGTCTTATTATTGTTTTAGTTTGGATTCTAAAGTGAACTTGTGATCCAGGGCAAATTTCCTACTAAGGAAGGTTCTAAAGATGTCTACCACTACCAGAGGAAGTTCTCTGTGATACACTCTATAATTAAAGACAAAGACATCATGCATGTCTACAAATATATTCCAAAATTAAAATCACTCATTTGTATAATACAATTTTAAAATATACAATAAATAATTTTCACTTTAGGAAACTGGTGGATAGCTCAGTGGCAAAAGACACGCTTAAAATTCACAAGGACTTGAACGTCATCTTTGACACCAAACAGACAAAACGATTACCCTTTTTCACTTCTTCAGGGAATAGAAAGAAGGGACTATACTCATGTTTGGAAAATTCTTATGAAGGAGAATTGGTATATTTCACATGCCAGTAATGTGTCAGGATGCAAATCAGAAATCATTTGCTACTTCTGAGCCTCCAAGATGTAATTCTATGAATCTATCAGAAAGAGGGACATTAAAAAATCATATTAAGTGAAGTAAGACAGACCCCAAAGAAACATAGGTTCCATAATGTCCCCCATTTGTAATAATTAGTATATGTCTAGGATAGTTCCAGCAGAGGTTCACCATAGCTCAATAGCTGTATGCATATGAACAGATAAAATGATGCTAATCAAAATGAACTACAAAATATGGAAACAAGAGGTTTGTTTTAAATTGTACTCTGTGAAGTTACTTCTTTTTTTCTTTCATTTTTTCCTTTGGTTTATTCCCTGTTGTCACTGTTTTTTATTTTGTCCCTGTGTCTTATATATATGTTTATCTGATTTGGGGAAAGAAGGGGGAATAACAAAATGGTGAGACCAAGGACAAAGGTGAACCAATGCGACAGCCATACTCATAAGACACTAGGTTGGAAATGAACTTTACTATTGGAGGGTAGGGGAGCCAGGGAGGGAAAATGGGAGAAAATGAGGCAGGGGTTAACACTGACAAGAAATGTACTCATTTTCTTACTTACATAACTAAACCCTCTGTACCTCATCTTTACAATAAAATAGAATATATATTTTTTAAAGAGAATACGATCAAATTATCAAAGACATGCTGGTGTAGACCAGAAGCCTCATCAGGGGTGAGGTTCAGAGTTTACGGTATCACCCAACCTGATGGTAAAAGAAGTCCTCTCTATAAATAGGCAGAAGCATTACAGTAGCTTTAAAATGACCCATCAGAACACATGAGACCATTCCATAGAAGGGATAGTAGAGGAAAAACAAAGGAGGAGGTAACAATGCTCAACAGGAAATGTACTTATTGCCTTCCTCATGTAACTGTAACCCCTCTGTACACTATTTTTACAATAAAAATATAAGTAAAGGAAAACTACAAGGAAGAAAACTTAAGTTACTTAGGTTACAGCCAGCACAGGGTAGAAGATAGATTGTTGTGAAGATGGGAACCACAAATATCGTATTTATAATCATATGATCCTATGGGACTAAGAAGAGGCTTAAACTTGGGCACATTTAAGTGTCTAAAACTATGCAATTAATCAAAATTTTTATACTATTCCGATCCTGTATGTAGACATGTTGGTTCTTTTAACCAAATTTCCTTTTACTCATTGGAAAGTTGTATCTTAGCTCTCCTGTTGAAGTCTCCTTGGTATGTGGTTTGATAAGAATGACCCTAGCCAGAGACCAATTGCTCATGTCTATAGTCTTAGCTACTCAGGAATCTCAGATCAAAGCCAGCCTAGACAGGCAAATCTGTAAGACAGTTACCTTCAATTATTAACAGGCAAGAGGCTAGAACTGGAGGTATGGCTCAAGTGGTACTGTGTCAGCCATGAGGGGAAAAAACAAAGAGAGTGTAAGACACTGAATTCAAGCCCCATTGCTAGAAAAAAGTATCCTTTTCTAGCCCTAGAGTTGATGTGCCAATCAGAACATTCTATGTCCAGTCCCAACTATTAGATACAGTTTACTTGGCTCTTATAAGGCAAATACAGGCTTATGGAATGTATTTACTAGAATTGTTAGGCAATGTCAGGCCTCTGTGACCTTCTTGTGAACTACCTGGGTGATTCTGATCGACACCAACATGTCTTTGATAATTTGATATTCTCTTTTTTTTTTTTTACAGTTGAATTGTATTGTCAAGGTGATGTGCAGAGGGGTTACAGTTACAAACATAAGGTAATGAGTACATTTCTTGTTAAACAGTGTTACTCCCTCCCTCGTTTTCTCCCACTTTCCCTCCTCCTAACTCCCCTCCCCGTACAAGCTGTAAGGTTCATTTCTAACATAGTGTCTTGCAAGTATCACTGTTGTGTGGGTTCACCCTTTGTACTTTGTCTCACCATTTTGTCAATCCCCTTCCTTTCCCCAAATCAGAGGCAGTAGGGCAAAGGTAGCACAGTAGGACCGAGCCAAGCAGTAAGGGAAGGAAGTGATGGAATGGAGCAAGAGATGGTGTGGATGAGGTGGTCTCACTCATAGTCAAACCATTGAAAAAAGATGGTGAATACAATTGCTAGACATTTGCCAACACATCTGTTTTGATTTCAACAGTTTAGATTTTACTCCAATGATATATGAAGTAGCCTTCATCTATATCCATGAGTCTTGTAGGACAGTCCTCTTCATCTTCTGATTAATAAAGGTTGTGGCCTGTAGGTTCTTATTTCTTTCAATTTTTTGCTATATTTCTAAGACTTGTGTTTATTTGGTAAGCACTCTACCACTGAGCCACCTTCCCAGCCCACTTGTGTTTATTTGGTTGTAAGATGATTAAATGTTTCTGGCCATAACGTCTTCAATATGAACTCCTTGGTATGTGTCTTTATCTACTTTGACCTCAAGCTCTATCTAATATTCTAATTCCTTTCCTTTTGTTTGCATTTTCCTATAATAACTTGGAACATCCTTTTTTGTATATTAAATTTGTTGAATCAAATTTTCATGAGACTCTCATAGACAGTGCACAAGACTGAGTTTCAAACTCACCATGGGATAAATGCTTGGAATCTCAGCACTTGGAAAACGTAGGAAATTTATGAGTTTGAGAACAGCCTGGGTTACAGAGCAAGATGGAAGCCACCTTTCACAATATAGAGACAGTACTTTAAAAACAAAAAAAATCCTTGGGGCTGGGAAGGTGGCGCAGTGGTAGAGCGCTTGCCTTGCATGCATGAGTTCCTGGGTTCGATTCCTCAGGACCACATAAGCAAAAAGAAAAAAACCGAAAGTGGCGCTGTGGCTCAACTGGTAGAGTGCTAGCCTTGAGCTGAAGAGCTGAGGGACAGCACCCAGGCCCAGAGTTCAGACCCCACAACTGGACCCCCCAAAAAAATCCACCAGAAAATAGTTAAGTTGTGTCATGTGATATAAGCTTGGAATGCATGTGGCTGTGTTTATATATTACATTTTTCTATTTCCAATAACTTCATTATCTTCTTATTGTCTTATTGTTGTTATTTTCTTCTTCTTTCTGATTTTTATTTGATCATGATTTAAGGTCTTTTTGAAATATTGTTGGATTCTGCTTGTTAACATTCCATTGAATATTTTTGCATGAATAATCAGACTCTGTGTCTATATATACATATATATAAATATATACATATATTATATATTATATTACTACCCCAAAATAATTAGAAAGCATTCCTTTCCTTCAACTTACCAGATGAGACTGTGAGACCTTTTTTTTTTTTTTACCATCAGGTAGAAATCTCCAATGAAACTATTTAAATTTGGAGGTTCCTGAAACTTATAACAAATTTAATTTCCTGAAGCGCTCTAGGGTGTTGTACATTATCTAGTTGATATTGTATGAGTTTTAATAGAGTTTGTTTATTGATAAATCTGTTCATTTTTTTCAAATTTATGAGTGTCAGGTTCATAATATTTTTATATTCTTTTTATATAGTCTACCATGATACTGCTTCATTTAATGCTATTAATTTATGTTCCTCTTACATTTTATCAATATTGTTAAAGGTTTCTCTACATTTGTTATTAAAAGTTAGGGAGTTGACTAGACATACTAACAATTAGATGTGTCTTACTCTATCTCTATTTCTTTTTCAGTTATATTGGTCAATTGTTACAAAGGGCCTGTAAGAAAGGCTTGGAACTTGCTTTGAACCTACCAGTGTATCAAATAGTCATACTTTTTTTTTTATTTTAGTACCCAAATAAGAATAGGAGAGTGAGTAGTGACCCCTTGAGACTGTTGAAGTTATTCATTGTCCTCAGAATCATGGATACATCAAGCAGTGCAAGAAGGTGAACCAACATTCCACATCTCTTCACCAAGTAAGTATGTACAGTTAGGTAGACAAGGAAATAATGTACTTGTTAAATTACTGGATCTTTTATGGATTTTGTTCATTATAAATAAGTTTAGTATTCATTTTGAGTACAACATAAAATATATTTTATAGGTTAGTAATCCTAGCTCTTCAGGAGGCTGAGATCTGAGGATCTTGGTTCAAAGCCAGCCCAGACAGGAAAATCCATCAGACTCTGATCTTCAATTAACCACCAAAAGCCAGAGGTAGAACTATAGCTAAGAGGGTGGATGCTAACTTTGACCAATAAAGCTCAAAGAGAGTGCCCAGACCCTGAATTCATACTCCAGGAACAACACAAATGTGTATACACACATATATACACATACATATGCACATATGTATGTGATTATATAGGTATATGTGTGTATTCTATTACATGAATGTTTTTCCAATGAAAATATAGGGTTTTTTTGTTGTTGGTGGTGGTGGTCGTGGGGCCTGAACTCTGGGCCTAGGCGCTGTCCCACAGCTCTTCAGCTCAAAGCTATCAGCTCTTCAGCTCAAGGCTAGCACCCTACCACTTGAGCCACAGCACCACTTGCATCCTTTTCTGCTTATGTGTTGCTGAGGAATCGAACTCAGTGCCTCATGCACATGAGACAAGCATTCTACCACTAAGCCAACTTCCCAGCCCCCAAATACAGTTTTTATTGTGTAAACTCTATATATTCTCTAAGTAATTTAAATGTGTGGCAATTTCAAGGTAGCTGGCCTAATTAAAGACTTGTAGTTCTGCTAATTGCCCATGATATCATCTACTTAAAAGACATTAAAGTCTCTACTAGACAATAGCAGCATAAGAAATATTAATACAAAAAATCAGCAACTTCCTGTATACTAATAACAAACTTGCCATAAAGGAATTGCATTTATAAAAGACTCAAAATTAAAATGAAATACCCAGGGACAAACCTGAATGGGGAAAGGGAAATGAAACATTTCTACAATGAAAATTATAAGAAGTTACTAGAAGATGAAACTGCCTACCATATTTGTGGGTTGTCAAAATTAATATTTTGAAAAATGGATATATTACAGAAAGCAATCTACAGGTTCAAGGTAATCCTCCTCAAAACTTTAGTGATGTTTTCGCAGAACTAGATAAAATAATCTTAGAATTCAAAGAGGTACAAGCCGATGTAAGCTAAAAGAAAAACACTAGTGATATTGCAACACCTGACTTTATACTACATAGTCTCCCAGCAAAACAGCATGGTACAAGAACAAAAACAGACACATATACCAGTGAAAAATCATAGAAAATACAGAAACAAACCATTGCAAACCAGGCAGACACACATGATTCCTGACAAAAGTTGCAAAAACATAGGCTGGAGAAAAGACAGGCTACTAAATAAATGTGCTAGGACAATTGGATATCTACCAGACTGAAACTTGATCCTACTAGAGTAAAATATAAGAAAGATCTGTGAACCCTCTAGCCTCTTAGTATTGACACTTTATTCATATAGAGCAATTTGTTCACATTTTAAGAGTTTTGCCCAATACAGGTGGCCGATACATGTAATTGTCACTACACAGTAGACAAAGAGTTGGATGATAACAGTGTACAAGTTAAAGGCTAAGGGCCTGAGTTCAAGGCCCAAGTACTAGGGAAAAATAAGTTAAAGGGCTTTTTATTTTCATATAAAGTCATTAAGTAATGTCTATTTTTTCTATTCGTTTTAGAGATTGTAGCTGTAAAATCTGTCTACAATTCTGCATGATGTGAAAAATGAAAGTAATTATGATTACTAATGATGATTTAATTGTATAGTTAAATGTTTATTTCTAAATTTTTCATGCAAATAAGTGCATAATTAGGAAAACAAGTTACTTGGCCAGTTAATCAGGTTTCGTTTTAGTCTTGTTGTTTGGGCTAAAATGTACTCCAGGATGTCATCTGTGATTTGGAATATTAAAAAAAATGCTTAAGGGTGAGCCTTTAGAAAGCAATGTCCCTACATTGCCAAGCATGGAGTGGGATGTGTTTGATGGAAAGAAAAGCTTGGAAAACCTGAAACATGAGAAGAAATCAGAAGGAGAGACGATTTGAGGCGTAGAAGCTGTGTGTTCAGAGTGGCTAGCCAATTGAATACAAGTACTCTCCAGATCTGGGCTTGAAGAGTCTCTATATGATCGTCCATTCTGTTTGTCTGTCATATTGCTGGTTGAGCCATTTTCAGAGAAAAGCATCATAATCAGATGGCAATCCTGTGTACTGTCAGAGAGGAGGCAAGCCACCTCTCCATACACATGCTGAAATCATGAAAAAAAAAAAAAGGTTAACCACTGAGATATGGGCATTTATCAGTGACAATATAAGCTCTACTCAAAAACCTATAGAGCAAGATCACTCTCACTCTAAAAAACTATGATAAAACTATGTTGTTACATATACCAGAATTCCCTGGTGTTTTCAGTTTCCGTGGATGTACTTTTGTGAAGCCAGATTGGTATCTGGCTGCAATAAAACAAATAGAATAAATTAAATTTGTAAGAAAAGATAGCTAGATAGGTAGGCAGGTAAGGCACTAGGCACTGTTTTATGAGTAATATTCACATTACAAAATGCTTAGCATAATGCAAGAAGTAAAATCAAGTTTTAGGAGGCTGAGGATATAATCATAATGCAAATACATGATGAAGTAAGTCATACATTAAAAATAAATTTCAATCGAGAAGCTATGAAGTTCACATTACATATGACTATAACACAATGCACTAAAAAAACATACTGAAAATCTAGAGGTCTCTGAAAGAAAAGGGTATTTTATAAAATAGTAGTTAATTTAAAATTCAGACCTGAGAGTTTGAAGAATGCAAGTGAAGTTAAAAGATAATGAATTGTACCACATATAATTTTATTAGCTAAGGTCAGTAAAACTAGTAAACGTACATGACTTATATAAGAGGGTTGCTGGGAAAGAGTAAAGGAAGGTCTGACATTGCTCAGGAAGAAATGTCCTCATTACCTGGCTTAGGAAATAGTAATCCCTCTGTACATCACCTTAGTGATAATTAAAATTAAAAATAAAACAGAAAGTAGAAATATTCATAAACAAAAACACTATTACATGCATTATGGGCCAACATTTTCTTAAAATGAAAATAGCCCATGCATTGCTTAAGGGAATCTGGAATGAAATCTGAGGTCGGTGTGTTCTTTTCGTGTTATAAGGCATTGTTTACATGACTAGCAAACATCCCACTTACTTAGAATGAGGAGGAGGAAGCAGACAGGAGTGTTTAAGCATTAGGCTCCCACCCCAGCCATACAAGGAGCCTCTTTCTACTTCACCTGGAAGTTCAGCTGGTGGAGGTACTGTTAGCTCTTCCACTCACGGAGGCCCCCTCAAGCTGGTGAGCCTTCTCTTGGTGCCCACCCACCCTAAGATGTGAACAGATGCCCAAATTCATGGCCTCCTTACAGCCCAAATCTCAGGAAGTAAAGAGAAGCCAGGCAGACTTAATGCCTCTTATTTTCAATGACAAAAGTTACTAAATAGAATTTAATATAGAGGTAGTGTCAATAGTTTTTTGGACAGCTTCTTTTTTTTTCCTTCCCAGATTGTCCCCACCCAGCACTATCTTCTCAGAATATCCTCTGTGCCTCTATTTCTTTACAACGGAATAAAAGTGGATGCGTTATATTTTCATAGATATTAGAGGATGCTATATACATGCAAATCAAACAAAGCAGTTAATCCAAGTAAGTTCAGCTGAGGTAAACGCTACACACTATTTGGCTTAACGAAAGGCAACTAAGATTAAAGTAAGCCTTCAACTCGTTTAAATCTCTCCCCTAAGAAAATACTGTGCTGATTGCAGTATTCTCAGGGTATTTGATAAAACATTGCTCCATCCATAGAAAAGCAGACATTTGTGAAAGTAATTGCCAGAGATTTTATAGTAATTCATAATCACTATCTGGAACCTTAATGTAAACTTACATGCACATTTTTGGTGAGCTGTGTAATCTTATATTCCAAAATGGGGGGAAAAAAGCCGCCTTTTCAATATCTGAGAATGGGTCCACTAACTGGAAACAAATAAATCTTATTGCAAATACAAGGACTTTTTATATTATAAACAAACTATAAATATTACTACTAAGGCATGGACTTTTTATATTAAAAATCAAACAAAGGAATTTTCCTATCTTATCTGCTTTTCTTTCTGACTGACTTTCACATACACATAGGTACAGGGACATTCTCTCTCTCTCTCTCTCTCTCTCTCTCTCTCTCTCTCTCTCTCTCTCTCTCTCTCTCTGTCTCTCTCACACACACACACACACACAGAGTACCTTAAACTCCCAATTAAGTGTGTTTTATCCTCTGGAACATTAATATTAGCTTCAGAAAAAGTATAGTCAACCCTTCTCCAAACAGAGTAGGTCTACATTTGTACTTTTTAAACTAGCTGCTAGAAGCTGCAACCCAAGCTTAATAAATTTATATTTCATTTTCAAATCATAGTCTCTAAAATCCCTTTGTATAAGACTCACATAGTTATTTACAGCTTCTGGTAAATGGAACACACACACACACACACACACACACACACACACACACACACACACACCAATTTCTCTTTAATAGAAAGACAACCCCAACAGATGTATATAGCATATTAAAATTTGTCATAGAAATGCAGTGCATGAGAAAATGAACCAGTGCCCATGCTTACCACACATTACACGGCCTACTCTCTGGCTTCACAGTGGGATGAGACAGAGAAATACAAGTAAGTTCATGAAGCAGTCATGTGACCTTCTTACCCGCCAAGCACTCTGGTCCAGAATAAGAAGCTATAAATTTCTTCCTCATTAAATACTTAGACATCTTCACAGAGAGATTTAATAGACAAGTCCTCTAAACCTTGTGTTTAAAAGTTAACCAGAGCTATCTCTCTAGAGTCCTCAGAACACATTTTCTGTCCAATATTTAACCACCTGTAAAACCTAAATTTTAATTTACAGAGAGGCAATTACAACTCATCTCCCAGTGTTTGGTTTGTATGTTCTTGCTTTTTGGTTACATTCTTATGCATTCTGCTAAACGTCCAAGGCCACACATGCCAGTTTTTAGAGATAGTTCTAGTTTCTAATAAGGCATATAAAATATAGTCAATTTGAAGTACATTTCTTCCCCAACTTGGTGAATAATGTGTTGGAATGTTTTCTTCAGAGCTTAGATTGAAGGGAACTTTCTTTCTCATATTTTTACAAGTTCTCCACCTCTATTCCTGCCTCTCTATCTCCAAGAAGACCACCGCCTCTCGTCACCTAGCCAGAGTAGATATCACAAGGCAAACATTTATAGTCCAGGAAATGCCCAGGAAAAAATGTGTTAATCAGAAGTCTAACCTCCAATTATCACTAGGACAAAAGCCCAAATTTTCAAACAATTCTTCCAAGAAGGGATTTGTTCTTCATTTTTGTAGGTACTCCTAACTCATAGCTATATGCTTTTCAGTGCAAACTATTTCTTTCCTGTGAGAAATACACCTGTATGAGTATTGCAGCATTGTTGTCATTAATTGCTTTACCACCCATTTTCTTCTCAGAGATGTCAGTGAGATCTGGGTCTGGGAACAGCCACAAATCCCTCAATATTTTTAAGCCTTGCCTGCAGGCTGATGGCAGTCTCTTAAGCTGCCCCTGATTCATTCTCCATCACTCACCAGAATACAGAGGGCTGCTGTGACCACTACAAAAGGATGGTCTTCTCCTGCAGAGATTGATCTCAGCTAGCCAAGATTTTACTTTCATTTCTAATAGCAGAGTTTAGAGTCTTATTTTTCCCCTCAATCGCAACAACCCTGTAAGTCGTATCTTTACACCCTTCTGTAGATCACTCCGATCCATCTTAATATAAAAATGCATTATTAATATCTACCTTTAATGTATTCATTTGCTCAACAGTTTGGGAAACAAACAAAAAGACCTTCATCTGGCTTATATATACCCTCTACTATTGCTTGTTTCTTCCATCTTGCCTACTCCTCCATATACCCACTTTGCTGTAGCTATATTGTATTTGTGCTAATACTAGGACTTGAACGAAGGTTCTAATACTCTCTCTTGGCTTTTTTCCCCTTAAAGCTATTGCTCTACCACTTGTGTCACACTTTTAAGCATGTTTTGTGTTTGTTGGTTGGCTTACTTTGTTTTTTTTTTTTTTTTTGCTGGCTAACTGAAGAGTCTCACAGACTTTTCTGCTGGGCTAGCTTTGAATCTTGATACTCAGATCTCAGCTTTTGGAATAGCTACGGCTGTGGATGTGAGCCTCCAGCACCTGGCTTCTTATTCTCTTATGTAGTTCCACTAAATAAAATGAGGAAGATCTTTGTCCCATTAATGTAGAAAGTTGCTTCAGGGAAGCACTGTGGTTTCACTCAGATAAATGTCACTCTGAGCTCTTCCATAATCTGCCCTAAGTTTAAATCCACGCTCTCTGTCCCTAGCTGCACTGCACATACCTTGTACACAATGATTTTGCTTTTCTGAGGAGGAGGCTATAAGGACATTGCATCTACCCCTTTTTCAAATCTTTTAATTCAAAGGAAATTTGAGAGGAGGCAGGGTTCTAAGAGTGAAGTACCTTTTTCAGCTATAATGATAGATGATGTGTGAAAATATGTCACAAAAAGAATAAAAGAATAGAATTTGGTTCATGTTTGCTTCTTCTACAGATGCTCATATCTCCTCTCTGTGTCTGTGTCTGTATATCTGTCTGTCTCTCTCTCTCTATGTCTCTGTCTCTCTGTCTCTCTCTCTCTCCCTCTGTCCTGGGGTTGGAACTAGCTTTGTGTTTGCTAGGCAGGTGCTCAACCACTTGAGCTATGCTCTCAGACCTGTTCAATTATTTTTTAGATATAGGCTCATACTTTCTTCCTGAGTCAGCCCTGAAACACCATACTTCCACCTTCACCTCCCAGATAGCTAGGATTAGAGACAAGAATAATCATGACAGACTGGTTCATTAAGATAGTATTCTGCTGTTTTTGCACAGATTAACTTCAAACAAAAATTCTCTCATTTCTGCCTCTAGGCACTTCTGATTACAAGCATGCTCCATAGCACACTTATTTCCTCTTTTAATGACATTGTAGTCAGAGAAGTTTGATTAATTTACAACAGTTTGAAGTATTAATTTCTTTATAGTAGTGTAGTATGGCTACTTAAATACACAAAGAATTAGTCATTTGGAATTGAAGATATCTAAACAGGATGGGTAAGAAGACTTGAAGAGAAAGATGTAAGTTAAGAATTGTTTTGTGCTCTAGAGGTTTAATGCTGGTTCTAAAACAATCATCCATTCCCTTCAAAGTACTGCACCAAACAGGTGCATTAAGAAAGTGAGAAGATGAAGAATACTAGCTATGAATGCCTCATGTATAACTTAACATTGGTAAAATTCAAGTCTTGTTAGATCAATGAAAACACTGTACCTCCACTTTCCTCGCTGCAGGATATTAAGGCACTTAGGCAAATATCTCTTTCAGAGTATAACTTCAGTGCATAATTTGGAAAGGAAATCCATCACCTAGTTCTTTTCTACTTTCTCTGGATTTTTTTTGGCATTTTCAAGCATAATGCTTTACTTAAAAACCCTTCAACACACATATTATAAGATTTCAGGAATTAAGGCCATATTCTGAGACTTCTACCTATTAAAAACAATCAAGCTTAAGTAACCAATTTAGGTAGCCTCAGAATAGGTAGCTACTGGGTTCGAGAATTCTCACTAGTATTGTTCTAGAGGATTCTGAAGAGTGACAGTGGGTGTTTTCTGCCACCATCATCCCCACCATTCTGTGAAAATGTCAGGTAGACAATCGACTAAAGAGACCCAATATAAAGTTAGAAACTTGCCCAAAACTCTAAAGTATTTTTTCTGATGCATTATTCTTAAGCTACAAATACATTTGTCGAAGACTCTGAAGTATTAGTATCAAAAGGTATGACATAAATTGGTGACACATAAGTGTATCTTAAAATGGAGGTCAAATTAAGGATGACATGTACTCAAAATGGTTTATATGTTTCATCTTTTTGGGAAAGGGGGAAAATGTGGTTCTGCTAGCACTTAGAGGAATTACTTGTTCTCAGGTCACAGATCAGCCAACAACCAGAATCAAAGCCTGAAAACTCTTCCATCAGAAACAAGCGCTCTGCAGGGTTGACTATGAAGGGAAGGAATGTGTGGGACAAGCCAGGTGGCAGTGGATCTTGCCTTTCATCCTAGCTGCTCAGGAAAATTACAGTTCCAAGCTAGCCTACACAGACAAGTCTACAAGTGTCTACTTCCAATTCACCAGCTAAAAGCCAGACTTGGGGAATGGTTCAAGTAGTAGAGAGCCAGCCAGGAGCTGAGAGAGTGTTAGTTGAAACCGTGGCATCACAAGATGGATGCAAAATCTGCTTGTGGTACCAGTTTCTCCATGGCTATTTCTATCCCTCAGACATCATGGAACCATACATAGAGCAGAGTTTGAGAAAGTTCACCATCACATTTCAAATCAATGGGGTGACTAGAAACTGACAAAAGACGAGACACACCAGTGCCGTATGCTATTTGATTCTTTCTAATAAAAAGTGAGAACCGTCTATCACCTCAGTAAAATTTAAAGACAATGTGGGATGCATGTTGTTGCTTTCTAATTTGAAAAAGATGAAGGTACATTTTAACTTGCCTGACATATGCATATAACGCACAGAATACCCTTGCCCCAATTCTCCTAGGTTCAGACTTTTCCTTTCTAGATTTTCTTAACCACTAGTTGGTTTGACAAGTTCAAACCCATGGAGTACTGGTACTATAAAACTTCTATCCATCAAAATCTCCTAACGCAGCTCTGATATTCTCACTAAAAAATCATGAGAGCAAATAAACAGCTCGTTTCTCTTCAAGCAAAGTGGCAACTGTGTGTACTTAAGGTGGAAATAGTTCTCTGTTAATTAACCTGTTAGGTGAAATATTCCGATTCTCAAAAACTCCCAGAGGATGAAGTACAGAGAAGCACTTCTT